ATGCAGACCGAGTTAACCGGGGATGTTTAGTGGTGAGAGAGAGCGAAATGAGAGATTGGATGGTGGGATTCGAAAAACCGGTTTACGCAGGGGCATATGCAGACCACCGGTCACTGAAATACACTGGGAGAATAACCGATTATCACCATGATAACCCATTAGGGACTTAGGGGTTATTGTCCTGCGGTGGTCGGAAGAAAGACGGAAAATGTACTATTATCGTGTTTTGTGTATGCGCGTAATAACCAACGCATTTGAAGCATTTTACGCGTCGTTCGAAACAATGGAACTGAGCTAAAGGACTCCGGTAGGTAATAGGAGACTTTCTTTGGTGAGTTGCCAGTGTGATATAAACGATTTGAATATTATAAAATATTAAAGAGAGTCAGAATGGAGAAAAACCTGAATATGTATTTGGAAAATGAGTGTATTTCAGCAAAATAGTGGCGCGAACAGAAATTGCGATAGGCGAATAGACGCGAATAAACACCATTTCCATTATAGCCAGTGATTTTACTGATGAAAATCTTTGCTAGAACTTGAATCTTTATTCCAGTCGAAAATTGGACCCTATGGTCACACGAATTTGCAGTTCAGTTCCGTGGACCAGCAACCTAAGCCTTGGAGATTAGAATGGTAAACCACTGAAGGTATCCATAAAATAGAATAGACATCGTATTGAGCCAGACAGTAGGGAACGTATCTGAAATGAAAGTCCAATTTAGGTGGTGACCTTCGACCTTCGTGTTCAAAAGATTGATTTTTATTTAAACCGCAAAAACCTCGCCCATTACATCTGAAATACTCAAATTCATGTCGGATCTCGTCGACCCTAGAACTTCCCATTCTAATCATGTGTCTTATGTTGGGAGGTTATACGATTTGTCACGTCTCCGAATCATTCATACCTTGGGTTTGTCTGCTGGACAACGGAACAATTTGACTTTGCCATGATCATCCGCTGTAGCCAGAAGGTCGAATGTTGGATCACTGGCACAAGCATTTACATCCGTACCGTCTGCATTCTCGGGCCATATTCCACTGACCATATAGCCCAGAGTGCAAGTCTGACTGGCCCAATCCAAATCCCGTAGAGTGCTTGGGGAGACAACCTGAGCGGGAGGGCATAACAGAGGGAGGGAGGGGACGGAGTTTGGTATGTGTCGGACGGAAGAAATCACTGAGTAGACTAAACCCCAACGCCCTGATGCATTCAATGAGAATAAAAACAAACCGCAAGATTGAGCTCACCATGGCAACCATACATGTAGACCACGAACCATGTTAGTGACTGATGAAAAATACTTCGAGCGGTTAACTATTGGAATGTTCAATAGAAGCAAGTTCAATATGCGGTTTGTTACTCTAATTACGTGATAAAAATGGAATTTTCTAGACATTTGTATGCATTCATGTCCGCTGGGATGACGGAATTATGACTTTGCAAGCAGAGAGATGTGGGCCACATGAGGTTTAATCATTGAGTAAAGGGTGAATGATACGTCCAAATCTTTCGCATGTCTTTGGTAAACGCTTCATCAGAATAAATCAAAGATGCACGGCTGATAACAAGTAATCTGCATCTGAACGCGCAGAAAACTTTCTGTAAACGACGGGCAGAAAAAAGGGAAAACAGATGGGCGGAATTCCACAATGAAAAACTAAAACTATCGGAGAATTTCGAAATACAAGTAGTCCAAACTGGCACATGGCCACTTCACATGCACTGATGATGTCACCTCAGCTGGTGATGAAACGTTTACAAACAAATCGTTAAGCTCGGCGAACAGGTGAAATGGATCAAGGCTCGTTCATCGAGCATCCATACAACCCGGGGTTGGACATCTAACCATAAACAACAACCTATCTCATATTAACCTTACGCGTCGACAGAAAGCCTGCGTCACGGTGAGTGGTATCTATTTTTATCAGCACTCGAGTTGCGAACTGGGCAATCCGAAGTGGACGAGTTATATGAGAAGACAAACAACAAGAAATTCACCTCGTCGTGCACACAACGGACTCCGTTGTTATTTTTGTCCGTTTTAAGGAATAAAGGAGAAAAATCAATGAACCCAATTGTGCATTATTGAAAGAGGACCGATAATCTGTTTAAAGAGCACCCACCAGTTAAATACGGGCGCAAAACGTGGCTCAGAGAAGAAGGTCATTAGCATTTTTTTTACATGCAACAAAGTACACCTCAAGTGGTATGCCCATGGTAAAATTGCGGGGCGTGGTACTATCCGGCTGTAATAGAACGCTTTATTAGACAGCCCAACCCAACGCGGGTGTTATATAGTGGCTGAAGGTATGGTAGAGGAGAAATCTCAATGCATAATGAACGCAAAATTAGTGTTTGATAATCTGCGACATCCCTGATACCAACGCAACATGGTTCTTTCACTGGAAGATCATGTGTATAGTGCAACGGTCGGTGCCGTGTTGCCCTAATGGAGCAAAAATTGGCCTTTCCGAGCAGAACATGTTCCAAAACTATCTGTTCTCGCTAACCATTGTCTGCGCAGCAGCGCCAGCGCATTCTGCTTTTCATATGCTCTTTCAACACACTGAACTTGATTTTTTCCCGTCAGTCCTCCTATGAAGGCAGGAGAGGTCTCATCAGTTCAGATTACTTCATCAGTCAGTGATTGTTCTGTTTACAGGGTGCACTTTTAAGTCAATATAAGCTTCATGCAACCATGATGCGTGGGATTTCAGCTTTCCGCATCATTATTGTTGCGATTATGTCATAATTACTAGGTTTTTCGTGATTCCATTTGATCCACTTTGAAACGATCCGGTTTAAGGAAAACACTCTGAGGATTTCGCACTTTCTGAACAAGACGGTTGATTTATTCGTATGTTTACCAAAAACTGAGACCTAACGCGTTCAGCCAGACTACCCGTGTTTTGTCATCGTCCGTTAAGTCTGCCTAGCTACTGTGACTTATATTTCACGAGCGGCGAAAAGTCAGAACAGAACGGTCGGCTTTCTCCACCAGATACACAATCGATATTTAGGAGAGTATGCGACCGGATCTGTGAGTTGTGATCACTCATTGCCATTTGAAGCAGTTTCATCGGGTAAAATTAGGAAGGAAATGCAGCTGAATTTTCTGCCCAGTGGTTTAGTGAATGACCTGGTATATATCGTGGTCAGAAATAGAACAATGTCATTAACCTGACGACAATCGTGCGCCGTCCAGAACAAGAGCTCGTAGTCACCAGACACCGAGCGTAAATAGCGCCCGTCCGTGGACCAATCGATATGAAGCACGAAACTCGAATGGCCGGAGCATCGACCAACACGGTTGTATTTGCGACCTTGTTCCAGCACATGATACACATAGATCCCATTATCCCGGGATCCAAGGGCCAGGTAATAACCGTCTGTAATGTATGTGACAGATGGGGGAACGAAAGATTAATGGTGTTTATTTTACAAAGACCAATGACTACACAGCGTATGTAAAGCATTAGGATATACCTATGAGTGGTAAATATGGTGAATGTTGGATTTAATTGGAGGCAAAACAATTGGAGCAAATGACAGATTTGTAACTGTTACCAAAACGAATAAGTAAGAATTGTTTGAAGGATTGAATAAGTGTCGCTTGTGCACTGATGCTGTTCACCATTAAAGATTACTAACATTTCAAATCATGTTTACTCGTGAGTAGTGATGTTGGATGAGTGGCACTGATTTAACTGATAATCCATCAGAATTCACATACACACAATCTTCAGTTCGTCTAACAA